GGTTGTCTGCGGGGCGGTTTCTGCAGGACTCGCAGGTGGGAGGCGGTGAAGCTGGTGCCAGACGGGCTGGGGAGGCCGCCGCTGCTGTAAGTAACTCTTGTGAGTTCTCCTGTTAAATGCTTGGTCTTTTGATTGATTGATTCCCGGGGATGTCACAGTTAGGCTGCGCTCCCATGTTATGTTTTAACCTGATAGGATGCAGGAATAGCATATTTTCCTGTTTACACACTTGGAGAGGCTAAGCAGTGCTCACCAAGTAGCCTTACCAAATTGCTCTGTTGAATCTTTCCCATGTATTTCCTGGACAGGCTATGTCTGTGATGTGGTGTCTTTGATAGATTTCATGTAGCCGAGGCTTTGTCTGTTACATTACTGGAAAAAAAAATGCAGCATGGCTAAAGGGATTTATTAGAGACTGGCATGGTCTCAGCTCTCTTGAAGCTTTCTCAGGAAGCAGCTTTATCTCCAGCTCCTTGTGCTTAATTCTGTGTTCCTTTGGAACAGCAGGAGTCACATGTGAAGAACTTAGTGATGTACTCGGTCCTGGCACATTGTGAAGGTTTTTGTGTCAGAAAGTAAAATCCTAAATTAGGAAGGAAAGGGGATATTTCTGAAATGCAGCAAGTTCTTGGCACTTTGTGTGTTCATCTTGCACACCTGTTGAAGAGTAACAGGAATGACAACCTGATGCAAATTGGGAAACAAAAGCTGGGCCCAGCATTTGATGAAAGGGGAGGAAAGTTGCAGACAGCAGCTATAGAGTGTTATGTTGCCATAGGGGTGTCATGTAAACAGCATTTCTTTGAATGCCCTGAGTGCTGTACACTTGACAATACTGATTGCAGCCTGATATATTGGCTCTTGTTTTCCCAAAGCCCTTGGGTTACTAATCTTTAAAACTACTAGATTCCCTAAGCTGAGAGATGTGGTGGTAGCCTGCTGAGCTCAGGCACAGTGGGACATAGAAGGCTAAGAGAAAAGTTGGTGCCTTTCCTGTTTCAAGTGCCAAAGGAACCCTTTTGTCTTTGCTATGTATTTGTCAGAGAAAGCAACCAATGCGTCTCTAAGAGAAAAATCCAACCTAAAATTTAACTCCACATATTGTTTTGTTGTCTCAGCCTCAGGCAGTGTAGCATGTGATGTATATTAATCATGTTTTAATGCACTATAGAATTTTAAAGCACAAGTTCAGAGTAATATTGGAGCTTCTGTATTTAAATAAAAGCATTGAAATGTGATGTCTAAGTGTTGCTCTTTTTAGTCTACCTAGAATCTCTCTGTAGTGTGAGGAACTGTTCTGAATCAGGTGAATATTACTAATTCCTTAATTTTCTGGAGCTAGGTGGGGTTTTGGTTTTTTTCGTTATTTGATTGGTCTCTGCAAGCTTGAGTATTGGGTGGTGTCATCCCATCCCCCCTGCCCTGGATTTCTAGAATCTGGTGGGGACTAGACCATGCTTTGCTAGGGAACCAGGTGGTTATACTGAAGTCTATCTCAGAAGTCTCTTTCAGAATTTTGTGTCTTCCTTGAGATTTTATTCTTGTTTAGTGCATGGTTAATTTAATGTTGGTCTTATTTTACCTTTGCAAATCCTTCATCATAAACAAACATGCTAGAAGTACAAATGCTTTCCTCTGAGCATGTTGCGTACTTACTTGAAGGCATTGCCACAGAAAATGAGAACTCTCAGTGAATGTTTTTAAACAAACCAGTTGTTAACGTGTCTGACAAATCTGCACAGCTTTCTTTTCTTACAGCCCCTTCTTCTCACCCTTTACTTTCTCCCACTGCTAGCTGCTGTTACTGCAGAAGTGAATCACTCGAATGGGAAACCCTGTGAACAGATCCACCCCCCATCTCCCCAGTCTCTCTTTATCTCCTTTTCTGCCCCTCTACCTCTCCCAAATCACCTGAAAACTCTATTCTTAATAAGGAGAAAAACTAGAAAGCAAACTTCTGGGTGTTGTCAGGAAAGTACTTTTGCTGTTAATGGCAGATGCACCTCATTCATGCAACCTAATGGCCTGATTTGGTATGCGACTACGTCATTGACATTAAACTACATCTGCCAATGTAGCTGAAGGTGTAAAGGGCAGTCCCTGATGTCCTTGTACAATCTCCTGTGTTTGCTGTTACAGGCTATGAGAGTGAGTAAGTAATGTCTGTTTACTATCTTTCAGCAGAAGTCTGTCTTTTTTAGCATTTGATTAGAGTATAGGGTTCAAGGTCATTACTTGATTCCTGGAAGAAATCTCTTGATTTATTACCAAGTGTACATGCTTATTTTCTTTCTCTTTGTGAAATACCCTGTTACTCCCTTGCTAGATAAGAAACTCCATAATTTAAAAAAGTGTTCGATTTCTGAGCTCCCGTCCATGCATCCAAGAAAAAGCAGCAAACTAGTCAAACCTAATGGACTTATCTTTGCAAAATTGTGTTGTGGCCTTTTCAGATCTAGATGGCCTTGAAGTCGAACTTTCTGCCAGCTACAAAGATGCATTTCTTTATTCTGCATTACTGTAACAATTGCCAGACCCTCATTTGAGGATAAAGAGGAAGAAGAACAGCCTGTTACATTTAATAGTATGTGGTAGCTAGCAAGAGCAGTGAAACAAGTCCTTACAAAACTAAGAAACCCAACGCTGTATTTCTGGAGGCTCAGAGATTTGTTGCCTTAGGTGTGTATCTGTCCCCATAGCTTGTGTCATCCAGGAGCTCTTCTATTGTAAGGAAGTTTTTATGAAAGAGACTTCAATATCTAGAAGATAAATCTGACTTAAGAAAAATTTACTAAATTCTATTACATGGGCCCTCTGCAATGTCTTATGTTTTTATTAATTAAAAAAAAAAAAAGTAATGCCTGCTTGATGGGTAAAGTTAAGTTATAAACACATTGCCACTCATATGGTAATAATAAGTTTCTAGTAACTCTCCAGGAATTGGCAGTGGTGATTTTGACAACAGATAACCACCACAAATGTTCTTTACAGAGGTATCAAACCTGGGAAAACTCTAGTACAGACTGGGTTTTTTTGTTTCGTTGGTTGGGGTTTTTTTTGCTACCAAATAGAATGTGAGGTACTTTTTCTGCTTTAAGAAAGCTGTTTGAGCAGGATACTTGAGAATGCTTTCATAACATGGGATCAATTACTAATTTAGAATTTCTTTTACGATACCAAGGGAGGAGGGAGTGTGGAAGCATGCAGGGACACTGATCCTGAATCTGAATGAATTTTCCCTCTACCAGAAGAGAATTAGGATGTGTGTGTGGTACACCAAGACTCAAAAGTAATAATTTGTTAGACTTGAAATTGTGGCACCTGAGTGGTGGATTGAATGACTGCTATGGCATACCGTATCCAGAATATATTCCAGAAATCTTCCTGCAAAGCAGGGAGCCAGAGACACTTTTTCTCCCTCTAAATGGAACATTATTTTCTATTTGGTCTGCCCAACATATAACCTTGATTTGGTGAAAGAGTCCTGAAAATTTAATTGAAGGTTTTAGGTATATTTGAAGGATTCTGGACATTAAGTTTCATTTAAGGTCATCACTGTAGTGACTTTAGTTTCACATTTGCCATCCTGTCAAATTTTGTGGGGTTTTTTTATTCACCTGTCTTCATACAGATTTTTACTGGATCCATGGCATTCATACCCATTCTAAAATTCCACTACTTAGTGAGAGAGTCTTTTTTTTCTTGATTCCCATTTCAACTTTTTTGTTAATGCCTCACATTCCACTTTACTCCTAAGAAGCTTTTTGTTCTCCATTAAATTAGGCAGAAGAATCATCCTAGTGTTCGTAAATTACAGTTGTCTAACTGAAGTAAGACAGTAAGCTTTATCTTGGACTTTTTCCTAAAGTGGGCTAGTCTTCTGCCGAAATCATGCTTGTCTAGATTATGATTCATTAAGTTAGCTGTAAAATTTCATCTCAAAAAACTGTAGTTGCTGTAAGTCAGACTGGTTCTTTTTTTTGTGTGTGTTAAATGTGCCTGAATGTATTATGACTTCTTAAAATCTTTCAGCTGAGAGAAAATGACTGCAATCAAGCATGCTTTACAGAGGGATATTTTCACTCCCAATGATGAACGCTTGTTGAGCATTGTGAATGTGTGCAAAGCAGGCAAAAAGAAGAGAAACTGTTTTTTGTGTGCCACAGGTACATAGTAATACTACACTGTATTTCGTGTCTTCACCTTTGTTTTTTATTCAGTTGCATTTGTCTTAGCTTTATCTACAATATTTATTCTTGCCCCGTATAAAACAGGTGCTTTCCGATTCTAAGGGAGAAAATCAATTGTAGCTTATACTTCCATTATTGCTTCTATTAAAAAAGAAACAAAACCCTGCACTTTTATTCTCTGACCTCATTGTAATTTGAAGTGAAAGAATCAAAATTGTTTGTGTGGGACTGGTGGACTTTTGAAGCAGGCTTTGTATAGTGCTTGAAAGGGGATTTAGTAGGCATTTAGGCTAATCAGTCTAAATAAAATGCAATAAAGTACTGGTTAGAGTCCAAGGCAGAGGGCTCTGGAAAGGCACAGTAACTGAACTGAATTCTAATGTTCCTTTGAGTGTATCTGTATAATATTATGTCTCTTCAAAAAATAAGGTGCTTTGGGTCGATCTGTCAATAAATTAGGTTGCTAGATTTTTTTTTTTGACTGAGGAATCTCAGAAAATGTTTTCATTCTGACTATAATCTCCAATTACGTCTGTGCTTTGTCAGTTATGTGGCCATGGTCTGAGGTCTGCTCTATCAAAGAAATATCTGTAAATTGGGTTCATTACTTCACAAGCTGTATAGAGACGTATATCTGGTTGACTGAGACTTAAACTGAGCTGTGGATATTGTGGATGAAAATGTTTCAAAGGGTCTCTTTTCATAAAATAAATACTATGAAATCTGCCCCCCAGATAATTCATTTCAGAAGTTGACATATAGCAGAAACGGATATTAAAGTAATTTGTGCATTTTGAAATTACTCTTTTACTTCATATAACAGTGACAACGGAACGACCAGTGCAAGTAAATGTGGTAAAAGTGAAAAAATCTGACAAGGGAGATTTCTACAAAAGGCAGACTGCATGGGCACTTCGAGATCTCGCTGTTGTTGATGCCAAAGATGCTGTTAAAGTATGTGTAACTTTTTTTGATTTAGTGCTTTGCTTAGAACATCCTTTTGGTTCCAAGTTAGAGTTAACTTCCTTGATACTGACTGCTTTAAAGCTTAGATTGATAACATGTTAATTAGGAATTAGGATGATACATTCCTGTCCTGCTTATGCCTGCATTTTCTTCCAGCCTTTCCAAGAATATAACTCTGGTAAACCGAGTAAGAGGAGTCTAGATATGCTTGAATAGCAATATTATGAATATCTGCCCTGTTTATTGTAGTGATCTCTCAGGGACTGTAGACTGCTTGTGCTAAGGACCAGTACTTTTTTGTTTGTTTCAAGTCTTATGTAAATTTTTACTCCAAGCTTAGTTTCCCCTTAAAAAAATTGTTACCATCTTACTAATGACATTGAGCTACATGTAATGTTTTTTTGCTAGGACACTTAAAACATTCTTAATGAGCAGTATATAAGCTTGAAGGTGAGCTCTTATATCTGTTACCCAAATCATGACATTGGCCATTTGTTGGAAAGCGTACAGTCCTGAGGTGGTGTTCTTTTCCATAGAACAAAAAAAGCAACCTATTTTTGACCGTTTAAATTAATCTGTTGTCATAAACTAAGATGTACAAACAGGCAGAGGTGAAAATTCTTCATCCCGTGATGTCTGGTTTTATGTTCTGTTAACTGGTGATTTGGAAGAATAGTGCAGAAAACTATGAAGTTGAAAATTCTTCAATTTCCCCCTCCCCAAGTGTAGGTTAAATATGTTTCGTTATTTCAGTTATCCACATACTTGTTGGCTAGATTTTAGGTTTTCCTTGCTGTTCCTAAATACCGTGTTGCAGAATTGCTTCTTTCAGTTTAAGGTTCCATTTAAAATTATACCGTCTTTCAGGGCTTTTTCTTGCAAAACAGAATTCGGTTAACTATTTTCAGAAATGTGCTGTAATATATATGAGCGACTCTAATAAGCGACTTTGAAATTTTCTTTCAAAAAACAAATGTTGAATGCCAAACTCTATGATATTAAAAAAAATCAGAATTAAAGTTGATAGGTACATCATGTTTTGGTTTACAAATATGATCCTGTGCAACTCTTTTGACACAGGCCTTTCCTGCACTAGTTGTCAGACAACTCAAATTTTATGTAATGATACTCTTTGTTTAGAAATGTATGGTAATTATATTTATCAATATAAGCTACGGAAAAAACCAGAACTGCTTTTATTGTGCTGTACAGGAAATACCGTTTCCCATTGTATGCGATTTCATATGCAGCCTGCTTCTACAGATAGTAGTGACAATATAAGTGATAAGTAGCAGCAATAGTAGTTTTTACAAACTATGTATAAGTAAGAATTTAACATGTATCTGAGGCCATAACTTTTCATCAGAAAGAGGCTGGACCTTGAAAATGCTTGGAATATGATCTTTAAAACAGATTGTTACCAGTTACAATCCATACTGAGTTCATAAATGGCTTGTACAAAGGAAAGTACTTTAATCAAATGTCATCAAAACAATGTTCTCATTAGGCAATAAATCCAGTTGAAAATACTTCTGTAGTAGTTTTTTGCTATTAAAATACCAAATGGTCTTTTCTATCCTGTTCAGTGCTATCAAATACTATCATATCTGTAAAACATATAAAGTGTGTATTATATAATTTTTTTCCCCTTGTCTATTCCCCTAAGTATCCTTGAATTGTGTTGTATATGTTGTCAGTAATTCTGAAATTTTTAATTTCAGAAGGCTAACGCAAGGCATTAGTCTGATGACAGTGTTTCAGGGCAGACAGCGCCGTCAAATGTTTCTTGAAACTCTTACAGATCTGTGTATTATGTGTTATTGTTACCTTATCTGGCTTGACAAAATACTGTCTTCATAGTGTGGATTCTGGTTTTTCACTTTCAGTGTTTTAGCACCTTCGTTAAGGTGCATCAGGGTGCCAGAGTTGGTGTATCAGCTTAAGGTTGGCATCTGTGTAATTTCATTTTTATCCTGTCATCTCAATAATTAAATGCGTGAACAATCTCTGCTGCTCAGAGAATCATTTGACTGTTGAGCCTGTAACATATCTCATCTTTTGCAGGAGAATCCTGAATTTGACTTGCATTTTGACAAGGTGTACAAATGGGTTGCAAGCAGCACAGTGGAAAAGAACACCTTCATTTCATGTATCTGGAAACTCAATCAGAGATATCTTAGAAAGAAAATTGACTTTATTAATGTTAGTTCACAGCTTTTGGAAGGTAAATTTCTACACCTGTATACTAAATATAAAGTTTAATAATTATTCATGTAAAACAGATACACTAAAAAAAAGAAATCCTAATCCTGACTTTTTTCCTATTCAACTTTATTCTTTTATATTTCCTAAGTCTTCAGATAAACAATGTGACTACATAACAGATTTTCTGTTAGAGAACTGAGACAAAATAATTCATTAACAAATTTCTAAATTTTTATAAGCTTACTGTATTTCTAAGACATTCTGTTTCTTGAACAAAATAAAATCTACCTGCAAGATCTGGTAGGTCTAAATGTGTAACAAATCTGCTTTTGTTATGTGAGGTTTCTAGTTTATAAATTGTGAAGCATGTGTTAAATTCTGCTGGACGCTATTACAGGTTACATGACTGACTGGTTGCTAAGAAGGCTTTGTATCTTGTTCGCTCATGCTGTATTAAGTATTTTTACAGTCCCATCTTCTAATAGTTAAAAATTTTTAGTAGAGCCTAGTGAGTAATCATATCTCATGTTGAGTCGGTCAGAAGTGGTTAAACTGTTGATATTAAATACTAGACTGGCTTGTGCGGAAGAACTTGAATTAGAAATGTAAAACAGGGAGGACAGCATTTCTGTATTTCGGTGTTGACTGAAATTCGTTTTTAACCAACCTCTAACTTTTAAAGTTCATGCAATATTAAAACATTCAAACTTATTGCCACTTAAAAATATACACACTGCTCATGCTTTGTCTAGCTAACATTCTCTGCTTCCTTTCCTCTGCTTTTCCATACCTTTTAATTCTTCAGAACTGCCTAAAGTTGCAGAAGGTGCGTAACACCTTTTTCCTTTATTCTGCTTTGAAAGCAATTTTTCTTAAATAATACGCTTTTTCTTTTTTTAAAATAGTGCTTTGCATAGCTTATCAAGTTGCTAGAGATAAGAGATGTTTCAAATGTCCTAAACGCTTTCTGGCTGGATTGCGTTAATGTTCTGTAAATCATTTGTTAGCCTTTGAATGGCTTGTTGAATTAAGTAAGCACTGCCATGAGAAATCATAGTTCATGAAAACATTGTTATATACTTTTCACTTACCTCAGTACTGATTTTCCTGCTGTGAAACTTATCTTGAGCATCAAGATATTTTTTATCTATTCAGTGATACATTTCTTAATCAACTTTAGTATGTTTCCCTTATGCTCTATCAAGAGAGACTCTAACTTCTACTGATCTTATGCTAACAAGTCTAGTGTTTCAATGTAATATATTCTGATGTTGATTCAGCATTGAGAGGTGAATAAACTGAGACAGTACATGCAATAAAGGAAGGTGGCTATTTGTATTTTGCTTATGTTTCATAATTTGGAAAACATCACTGTTGGGAACCAGTTCTGGAAATCTTAATGAAGCCCATAGAAGGCTGAGACTTGAAAAAAGTGTATGTAGGTCAGCAGGTGCTTGTTATGAAAGTAGTTTAATGGATTCATTTACTTAAAGATAGTTGAGCATACTTAAGTACTCTTCAAATGCTTGTGACTTTCTGCACTTGATAATGTGTTTTATTTCCCTTCTCTACGTAAGAATCTGTTCCAAGTGGAGAGAATCAAAGTGTAGCAGGAGGTGATGAAGAGGCTGTGGATGAATACCAGGAGTTAAATGCGAGAGAGGAACAGGATATTGAAATAATGATGGAAGGGTGTGAATATGCTATTTCTAATGCTGAAGCCTTTGCAGAGAAGTTGTCACGAGAGCTACAAGTGCTAGATGGGGTAAACATTTCTTCTAATGTACAGTGTGTTAGCATGTTGAACTGTTTTCATTGATACTGACTACATAGTGTTCTTTGAAAAGGTAGCTAACATGTTCTGCTGTGTATTTAAATAAAAATGTGTATCTGCTCCTAAGCAGAGTTACATCCTGTCTATTACCAGATTTTGAAGATCTTCAACTTTGTTCTTTACTTTCCAGAGCTTCTGGGGTGAGTCGCAGGCTTTCAAATGAGGAGTTGAGAAGAAAAAAGGGAGGCATTCTGCATATGCCTTTCTTGAAGGCAAGGGAGAGAGAATAGATGTTCATGTCCATGGATGTGAACTCTTATACCTAAAATACTACTCTCAGTGTAATTAGGAAACTGGCTTAGTCTAGTAACGTTGCAGTATTCGTCTGTCTGTAACAATACCAGATTGTTTGCTGTGTTGCTTTTTAAACAACCCAGCATTCTACAGGTCTCTTAGAAAACTTAAGGAGATGCAGGGGATACAGTCTTGAGGGAACATTCAACAACCTCTTCAAATTGTCAAGTTGTATGTTTCTCTTAAATTTTGGAAATGTCTGTTATCATAGAGATAGCTGATCTTGCAATAGAAAATGTGACCTTATCACCTAAGCTGTTTTTCTGGAACTAAAAATGTTCCATTATAGTAGGGATTACTGTTTGGTTTTTATTTTGTGCAGATCAATACTTCAGTTCTAAGAACTTAAGCAAAGTTTTGGTTTTACATCTTTTTTTTTATGAAATAAAGAAATGTCATAGACTGAGGGACTGCTGTGTTCAATAACACTTTAAATGAGAAGTACTACAAGCTTATATTGTTTTGTTGCTTTCATCAAGAGTTTTAGAAAGTGTTTATTTGACAGTGATAGAGACAGAAGGAGATACCAGAGTGATTTTGAGATATAAAAATGTCTCTTAAAATGTTGTGGCTTAATTTTCTGCACAGGCAAATATCCAGTCAATTATGGCCTCGGAGAAACAGGTGAATATCTTGATGAAGTTGCTGGATGAAGCTCTAAAGGAAGTTGACCAAATTGAGCTAAAGCTGAGCAGTTATGAAGAAATGCTTCAGAGTGTAAAAGAGCAAATGGATCAAATTTCAGAAAGCAACCACCTAATCCATCTCAGCAACACAAATAATGTGAAACTACTGTCAGAGATAGAGTTCTTAGTGGTAAGCATTTTTATTGTGTTTACTATGGTTGTTCACATCAGGTATAAAATTCTTCTAGGTTGCTGCCCTCTTTAGCAACCATATAGGAGGTTCATTTAAAATAATGAGTTTATTTTTCTGTTTTATTACTGCACTAATTTCAGTAAGTTTTTATAATGATGGAATTGTATTTATCATTCTTGTTTCAGCAGCATAGCAAACCAACCTCCTTCTGACTTACAGACAGTACTATCCATTATTTTGTAGAATCACATGGATTTGGCTAAAGGTCATATAAAGGCCCTTCAGGAGGGAGATCTGACATCTTCTCGAGGCATTGAGGCCTGCACTAATGCAGCAGATGCCCTTCTGCAGTGTATGAATGTAGCTCTTCATCCAGGTAATGTTTTTGTTAGACTACAGTCTAATACACAAAATTTATTATGATAGTGCCTTTATTGTATGTGCCTTTCCAACTAGTCTTACATTTTGTTTCTAGACTACAAGGGTATTGTGACCTCTGGTCCTTTTGGTTCCCACATACAATATATTGCTATATATCTTGTACTCTGTTAAGTTCCTTTTATTTTTAGGACATGATATGCTTCATGCAGTGAAACAGCAACAGCAGCGTTTTAGTGACTTGCGTGAGCAATTTGCACGGAGACTTGCTAGTCATTTGAACAGCGTATTTGTCCAGCAGGTATTATTTCTTACTATTTTATATGAAGTTTTTGGTCACAAACTTTTCCTGAGATGAAAAACAATCCACCTAAAATTGGACACATTCTGTGATGTAATCAGTAAATGAATGGACTGCTAGAGGCACTTCAGGCAGAGATATTACTAAGCATACGACACTAGTTGCCTACAGAAGTCTCTTACATTAAAAAAAAAAAAAAAACAAACCAAAACACCTCTCTTTAAACACCTCTCTTTAGTGGGTTTGCTATCTGAATTAAACACATTGTGATATATGAGGATTTATTTTAATTGTAAGGCTTGGTTAATTGAGGAGAAAAAGCGTTGACTTTTTTGTTTAAGGGTGTCAGAGGCTGAGAGGATTGGAGTTCTTGCTGTCTGAACTTCAAGGGCCATAAAAAAAAAAAACAGTCATACAAAGTAAAATGTCTAAACCTTGATTTTTGAGCCTTAACTTGAAATATTCAGAAATCACTGTCCCAAGACTTGTTTCCTAAAGGCTGGATGTCTTTTTTAGCATCAGTTTTTTAATTTCTGTATTTTTTTATCTCCAATTAGTTTACTCAGACCCTCCTTCAACTCTATAACAGGTCCTACTATCTTTCAGTTCCAGTGAGTACATTGGGTTTGATACAAGCTTTTCTAACTAATTTTTTTGAGCTTGACTTATCTAACTAGCAGCTGCATCTTTGGCTTTACAAAAAGAAATTTATTCTTACCAATTGCAGAGCATCAGACTTACGCCCCTTCTCACTTCCATTATTTTTATCAGCCCTCAAGCTTTGTTCATCTGTTTATGAGATAACATTCCTCTGATCTGATCTCCAGAAATTGCTGAGAGACAGATTGAGATGTATGGAGGAAGAATATTTTCAGGAAATTGTAGTATGTGTACAACTGTACAGATACTGCAATTGTGTGAAATTGTAATACTTGGAAATAAAAAATAATTCAGTTTTTATACATATTAGCACAATCAAAGTTTTAGAAGTTTTCGGTTTTATGTATTAGACTGTATGCAGAAAATGGAATAGACTTATGCTGGATAACTGTATAGAAAATTGCATTCGAGAGTACAAACCTGGCTTTTGATGGCAAAGATAAGTGCTTCCTTATATTTTCTTCACTTTCCAGAAGAATTCTAGTTCTACGGCATGTTAAATTTTTTGCCTTTAGTTTCTGTTCTTAAGAAGGTACGTTTCTCCTCTTACTTTTCATATTTTGAAGAACTGAGCATAGAATATGTGTCCTGGCCTCTAAATGAGCAAGTAGAAGCTATGTTGTGTAAGTCCTGCGTAAATGCATTCACAAAGTTTGAATATTGGACTTGCGTATGAAAGTGGCTGTTTAACAGAATGTCTTTTCTGATGTTCTGTTCTGGGGATTTTATTTTTAAAAATGGTAAGAGACTATTATTACCATGTAATACTACATGTGTATTAGATGAAATACTTCTAAAGAGACTTTTCAGTGCTATTGAGAATGCTATTACCAATTTGCAATTTTTTTTTTAAATTCTGGTACTAATAGTGGCCTCACATTGTCTTTCATGTAAACTTGCCCTCTGAAAAGTTTTGGCCTGCTGTTAGCTGTGAGGTATTTATCAGCAGATAAAAAATATGACCTCGCAGTGAGGTTAAGCAGGAACAGTTCACTAACTACAAGAGATGAGCCTCTGCAAAGCTTTTTTTCTTTTTGCAAAAGAAAAAAAAAGTTTGTATACTTCATTTTGAGGTACGAATTGAAGTGTTGGAGGTATAACAGATTTTTGTGTTATCTTACTAAAATGACCTTGTTTTGTTAGTCTGGTGAATAAAATATAGCAATTTCTCAGTCCCATGTTTTTGAAAAGTCTGGAATACTCTTACCTTTAACATCTGAAGAGTTGCATTATTTGTTTAGAATGTTTCTTTCAGAAAAATAAAGCACTTCAGAAAAAACTAAGGCAGATAAAGATTTCTAAAATGTCAAGTGAAAACATGATGATGTCTAGGCAGCTGCTAATACAAGCAAGACATATTCCGATTTGGAACTCATTAGATGGAAAACCAAAGTTGCATTGAAATTTCGGCCTGAATATATTATCTTAGAAGTATGAAATTGTTCTTTTTTTTAAAGCAAACAAACCCAATGCTGTGATTCAAACTACTGTTGTAAGATACTAAGGTGCTTCATCTCCTTTAGGTAAAAATGAGAATAAATCTTAAAAGCTTTAAACAGAAATGTAACTTTGGATTGCTGTTCACTGTAGTGTTAAAAACTGTTTGCAGTAACTGTTACTAACAGTTAATGTAGTTGTCTTTATTGTGTCCTAATAATATTTGATTAACCTTACTGTGTGTCTATAACATTAAAGATTTTTTTTTTAACAACCAGGTTCAGCATTCAATTAAAAGGCAACTCTGGGCTTTCTGCCTTTGAAATACGAAATAGTTTGAAGCTTTGAAACTATGAAATAGCTGAATAACAGACTTGCAGTATCATTTGGTAACAGTTAGTATAAATGTATATGTAGTGAGAGGAAGACTGTTAATTAGATGGAGAAGGTACACCTAGAAGCTCCATAATGTTTTGGAGCAGACTTGAACAGGACATAATTTAGGACAACCAGAATGATTAGTCTTTAGGGCTTTTTTATCCGAAGACTTGAACTGATTAGTACCCAATACAATAGAGAAGGGTGAGCCAAAGTTGCTTTAATTTTGATCTGTTCCAACTGGCTTCTGTTCCAACTTAAAGACATGCAAAAGCAGTTTTTAATCTGTGTAGTTTGTATTCTGCTAACTTGTCATATCCAAGACAGAACTGTCCAGGAATGCTTCCTCTGTCAGGGACTGCCATTGACTGACCTGCATAAACCAACCTCACGTTATGCTACAGGAATTGGAGACCAATTAGGACAATCTTTTTATGCTGCCATGGCACAAACTATACTTAAGATCCAGTCCTATTGCTGAATTTATTGCAAGCCTAGTAAAAAAGACTTTACAGAAAATATTAAAGCCATTTTGAAATTAAGTTCCATCCTCCCCTTCGTTAACCCAGGGCTAATGGTTGTATGTTCTCCTCCATGGCTGAACTGTGGTCTTACCTTGCTTGCTTCCTGAATTGCCCAGGAAGCTTGTGAGTTCAAGCAAGTGAAAGCTTAAAAAAGCTACCTCACATGTTGTTCAAGCAATGTGATGTGATCTTCACTTAAAGGATAGTGTGTTTTTCAGGAAATAAGCCACAGAAAGGGAGGAGCGTGAAGTTAGTAGCTTGCTGTTAAATGGATTGGTTTATGCTGCATGTTGTAACTGTTTAACTCTAGTAAATATTTACTGAAAGTGTATGTGTGTCTGCATTTGTGTGGAGGGAGAGAGAACGTGTATGAACTGATGTTTTTAAGACTTGACCAAGGCTTGGCCAAAGTGGACTAAATTGGGTTGAATTGGAGCAGATTTTCAGAGGCATAGCATAAAGCTCATCATTAACACCTAAGCCATTGACTGGGGACTTGAAATGTCTTATGGTGTATATGGGAACAACATCTTTAAAAAGAAGCAGCAATGGATTTTTTTGTTTCTTTGTTTAGAGAAATAATGTCATAATCTCTTAGAATTTTTCAGAAACAGTTGAACACTTGTCATTAAATCTTCACTCAGGTGTACCTTGCATCTCTTGCAAAAAAATGCCAGATTGACTCACCCTGAAGGCAAAGTGGTAAACCGCAAGAGCCTTACAATGAACAAGCTTACTAAGATGCATTACCTGCCACAACTATAATATCTCAGTGTCCATATTATGTTAGGCATTTTTTCAATCTGCATCTCTAGACTTTTTTTCTATGCAAGATATTTTTATGCTTTTCTGTTTGTCTGAATGGGATGTTGTCTTCATTTTAAGTTTTTCAGGAAACTTCTAGTACGTCTGTATAGTGCTTCCAGATTTACTTTAATACTTTCTCTTATCAAGGGTCACGATCAGAGTTCTACTCTTGCCCAGCACTCTGTTGAATTGACATTACCCAATCACCATCCATTTCACAGAGATTTACTTCGATATGCTAAACTGATGGAGTGGCTCAAGAACACAGATTATGGAAAATATGAAGGGCTAACAAAGGTGTGTCAAGTGCTCAAATGATGCTAGAGAATGAACATAATATACTATTTTTGAGAGTCAAAAGAATTGCCTGTGTGTATGTGCATGTCCTTTTAATATTCCTTTATATTAAATTTAATTCACTGCTCCTCTTTTCTTGTACCTCTTTAGAATAGGAAACTTCATTTTTTGGCATTTCTTGTATCCTGGTTTGTTTTTTTTTCCGCCTCCAAGATTCTATGTCTCTGTTATAAAGTATCTTAAGATATTAATCTTAATATTTATGTAAAACAAGTTTGCCATTTTACAGTCCAGTAAGAAAAATAATTATGCTATTTTCATGTTGATGTGCTTATTGCCTATGTGACATCTTTATTTCAACAGACCTTCATTTCACTTGGGAATATCACAAACTTAAGAGGTCTCTTGTAAAGTAGATTAAATTGAAATATTTTGGCTTTCTGTATATGTAACTTTTAACTACCTTGTTTAAAACTGACATGCAGTGAAAAAAATTACTACAGAAGTATAGAAAATGTTTAGATAGAAGTCAAGGGAAAGTTAGTCCTTATAGAACAAGTCTTCTTTTATTATAAAGTACTGTCATTCTTAAAAACTCAACCGTGGAAGATTTAAATTAGACTCTTAAAATGGCTTTGAAATAGTTGTTCTTTTGCCTTCAGCGTAAGGCAGATGGTCAATGAATGGTTGACATCTTCGTGATCTTCTAATAAAAAATTGAGAGACTTACATATTTATGTATTATGTGTGCTAAGTAACGAGATTTTGAACACAGGAAAAAAATTCTTGGGTGATCTTTGTCAATAAATAAAACATTATTATAGCCTGTGTACTAAAAATCTAAACAAACCAGATAATCTTCAAACTGATTTCAGTTGTTGTGCCTCTTGTCTTTTTAAAATTTGAGCTTATTTTTGGCAGTGTTGCAAACATTATTTTGGGATTGATTGAATCTTGTAGTAAGTAGGCACACAGAGTTTATGCCTCCCAAAGTTTTCTGTCTTTTGTTTTCCTTGTGAGAATAGTAATAAAGGAGGTCACATACTCAGGAAGATGTGTAGGAATGGCATCCTATTTGCTTTTTTTGGGGCATAGTAAAAGTCATTCCCCAAAGTCATAGTAAAAGAGGCTACAGAGAATGGTGCTGAGTTTTCTCCATGCTACCCTGGAATTGAATTCTATGATGCTCTAACACTAGTAATCGTATTTGTATGTACCACATTGCATAGCTTTTCTTAAGGGGGAGAAGTAGCAATTTCTGATGCTCAGTGAACTTACTAGGAAAATGAATATAATCTGCTTAAATATAATGAATATATTTTTGTGCATGCTACATAAATATATATATACACACAAATATATAGTCCAAACCAGTTTGGTTTTTAGTGGAACTTAAATACTTGCTGGTTTTTAAGATCTATTTAACTGTAATAGAACAAAGTCAATATGTATACCTGTTAACTAACTTTACATTTTTCTTTCAAGAATTATATGGATTATTTATCACGACTATATGAAAGGGAAATAAAAGATTTCTTTGAAGTTGCCAAGATCAAGATGACGGGCACAACCAGAGAAGGAAAAAAGTTTGGTAAGCTTCCAGGAGGCGCATATCTTGCTTTGAATCTTATTATTTGCTTATAAAATACTCATTACACCACCTACGGCCAATTTTATAATGGTGTAGAATTGTTTACTTTTGGCAAGGTGGAAGAAGTTGGGTGAAAAATATGATTGGTAAAACTTCCGACTTCCACAAGGCCAAAGTATCACAACTGAAATCTTGTGAAATTGGTCAAGATAGAAGGATAAAATACGGTATTTCTCAGATTTTCAAATCTACGATCAGTTTTTAACAAACTACTGACCATATTTTATTACTAGAACTATCCCACTTTGTTACTGGAACAAATTTGGAAAATAAACTTTTGTAATTAAAGAAAGCTTGGTCAGCCTGTGTGTGTGTTCCTTCTGCTATTACTTCTGCTTTTAGTAAGTTTTGGGTGGATTTTGAAGAAGCTAATTTTAATGCTAATTCTGCCTAAGGAAACTTGGGTATTTCATTGTGTTTTCAGTGGGATTCACCTATGTAGTCTGAGACTAGAAATCATACTTTGTTAACTTGTAGGTCTTTCTGTTTAAGGGAGTATGTATTCCTGCTAGGATTAAATAATCTAGTGTGAGTATGAAAGTGAAGCTTTTAAAAAAAATAACCTGAATACTTAGAAAGCAACAGTGATATAGGTGTATTTATATATTGGCTATTCTATATTTTAAACTGTTTCAAAACTTGTTTAAAATATTTATATTTGCCACAGTTCACCAGTTTCCAAATTCTAAATTCAGAAATGATGTGCAGCTTTAACTAGTAAGTTCTGTCAAGCCTATTTTGGGTCCTGAACTTATGCTTTGAAGTTTGATGGTAGAGAACAGAAAAAAGTAATGAAAGGAAGAAAGCAGGAGAGTGGTGAGGCTTGACTGAGGGAGGGGGAATCTGGAAAGATAAGTCTTGGCAAGCTGTTGGACATGGAGAGCAAGTGGTGCCATAATGTGTCGTTGTCAGAACAGTTAAATTCATAAATCTTGAAAAGCTATCTTACTGCAAGAACTAAACACTTTATGCTAATACAAATTGATTTCTAAAACATTCTAAACACTTTATCCTGGCACTTCTTTTGTGATTTGCATTTGTGAGGAGACAGTTTTTGTAGCTATTTCCCAACTTCTGTAAATGTTTTGGAGTGATCAGGCATTTTGGAGAAAGAGGTCCTTCAATTCACCAGCATAAGAGCTGCATCTTGAGAAGGGTTTTGTCATGTATTTGTGCGAACTTCAAGCATGTTTGAACTTTGTACAGAATATTCAAGGAGGAGAATAGCAAAGGGGTTTTTTAACCAGTTCTCTTGTTTTGATTTCTTTTGTAATATTACATTTTCACAATCATACAAAAAGAGTATGTTTATGTTTGAGTCTTGCTGGTGACTGACTGATGTGCAAAACTTGACCCAAGTGCCCAGTCCTCTGAAAATTGGTAGGAACCAGTCACAAAGCCAAAACTTGAACCTGTATCCAGTGGGGACTCTCTTAGAATTCTTAATGTTATGAATGGTAATTAAGCTATTAAGTAATGGTTATCAGTGGCCCCATATTTGAGGCCACAAGCGAATTTAACAATGAATTGGATCAAAAAACCTTCAGTACTAATCTTATAAAGAAGCAAATTACATATGTTTAAAAAGCTGTTCCTTATCCAAATATGATTTCATTTCACCATTTAAATGTCAAGTTATGTATTTATTTTGTAAGAGCTTATAACAGTAATTTAAAATACATTACTTTGTAATAGTAAACTAAGTTAAGAAATAGTTTAGGTGCATAATGCTCCAGTTGTACTCAGGCACTAAAGATGACCTGTTTCCAAGCTGTGTTGGTGTGTGTTCTTGCCTTTTTTTTGTGCTTTGGGAATAGCACTGCTATTTGAATGCCTCAAACGCAGAGGGGATGCTGGGAGAATTCTGGCATTCTGTGCTAGTGCAAGGTTCTTTGTCTGCATTTTTATGGCAAAAAAAAAATCTGGGTCGTGAGCATTCACACTTGTCTTAGTAGTCTTTTTTTTTTCTTTTTTTCTTTTTTTTTCTGATTAAGCCAAGACTTTGATACTTAAATACCATAAAATCAATG